GCGAGAAAAATCCGTATTTTGCAAAGCATCTTTTTGCAAAACAAGAACTGATTACGCGTGCAAGACTTCGTGGACAAGATTTTGCGACTGGTAAGAATTTCTCTTTTAATCAGTGCCATACAAAGAGTTTTGCGTTTTTTTCTCGGGAAAGTTATTTAATAAAAGCAATAGAAAACTTTTTCTAATGCCCAACCCCTCTCGTGTTTATATCAGGCTATGCAAACACGGAAAACGTTTTCTTTTTGCTTAAACAGAACAGTTATATAACAGTTACATAACTGTTATATAACTATTACTTATATAACAGTTATGTAACACCAGAAACTCATAAGGGGTTGAAACGTGTAACTCTCATATGTTTGCTTTGTCCGATGCTCGTGATTATTCATTTTAGAAAGTACCATATTTGGAACGAGAAGAAGAGATAACTGACCAATCAAACTTCGTAAACAACGTGACGTAATTTTCCTTCAGGTTCCCGCGCCCGCTTAAAAAAATGGCCGACAAACGGGAGAAAAACTCCCGAAAGCCGAGAAAGCTTTCAAAGGTTAAAACCAGGAATATTACTGAAACACTGAGCAGGATATTATTGCCTTACCACCCGGGCCAAACGTAACATTATGAAACCTATTGACGGCCTCGCAACTTCTTGAAGTTGTCACTTCAAAATACGATGCCTCGTTGACCCTCTGCACAGTAAACTTATACTGCAAATAGGCTTTTAAAATTCTTATGTTAAAAGTCAAGAATAAACAGTGAAAAATATTTTCGAATAAAATTCATTAGCTGCTTATCGAAAAGTGTCCAAAACCTGAACCTGACATCTTCGCAAAAAGTGATGCTTGTAATGAATGTGAGAAGCATTTTAAAAGCTTAAATTAAACTTAGATGTTGTAGTCACGATCGTGTTTGAGCTAATTTTATGAATGAACAAACTCAAAACAATAGACAGAGAAGCCGTTTCTTGAAAATTTTTATTCAAAGTCCAAAAAGTTAATCCTTTAAAGCAATTCGGAAAACACTATCTGGATCGTGGATCCGTTCACGCAAGTGAAATCGGCTAAGCACATGGCAAAATTCAACTCAAAATCCATCTCAATTAATCGGGGCACATTTTATAATTTTTCTTTAGCGCCGAAGAGAAAAATTTATAAAACGTCTATGAAACATTTAAAAATACATAAATTCCCTTTCAAAAACGTAATTGTCTTGGCCATAGAGTGCAAAATGTACCTGAAAATTCAGCAAAAACTTCGCTGACTTGGTTGCATTTCAAAACAGACCATGGGCTCCGCCGTAAAGAAAACAAGGTTGAATTCCTCGAAGGACGATTTCTTGATGAAAAGCTTCCCTTTCTCCACAAAAAGAAAGCTGAGCATTCTTTTGAACGTTCTCTTTCCATTTTTTGTCTTTTAACGGTGTATTTTTAACCTTAGAATGCAGAACTCTTGTCTTAAAACATCTGCATGGTGATCGCGCAGTAGCCATTTTGTTGAGAATGGGTATCCGTCACTAAGGTTTCCAAATATGGTCAAAACGAATATTCACGAGCATTGAACGCGAGTTACACGTTTCAACCCCTTATGGGTTTCTGATAACACCTATATACCTCTTATTAGCCGAGTTTTCGGTCCGTACTGTAAATTACAGACCGAGCTGCGAAGCGCGCGGGCCATAAATCGATGGAAAAAAACGAAGATCCGTAATTTACAGTATGGACCGAAAAAACGAGGCTAATAAGATGTTTATTATATGGCTTCTTCCTGTTTGGGGGACCGGAAACAAGTGCAGAACGCACGATTTGATAATTTGACAGTCATTTGACAGGCGTGAAAAAAGAAAGTTTTTATTGGCGCTCGAAAACAATAGCACATAACAAAGGCTTTCCGAGAAAGTAAAAACAAATTCGCCATGTTGAAAAAGTTTATTCGGTCAAAACTAAGAGTACTGTAAGTTTTAGCTTTTTAATGTAACGCTGGAGTATTTTGGAAACCGGACAATACGGCCATTTATACGAGGAGAAATAAGACGCGTCTTACATAAGACGCGTCTTAAATAAGACGCGAACTGTACCATTTATACGAGCATGTCTTATCTAATAAGACGCGTCTTAGCTAAGCCGCGTCTTATTTTAGACGAAATGTGCCGTTTATACGCGTCTTATTTTTCCTCGTATAAATGGCCCTAATGTGTCTGTCTAGAAGTCGTTTCCATCTTTCCTCCGTTTGTCCTTGTGAAAAAACACTGCAAAAGGCAAAGAAGCTTTTCAAGGTAAGTCTGTTGTCATTGTCGGATGATTCGCTTGTTAATTGGTTTGAGAAAACCTCTCTTTCTGCCAGTTCATTCTCGTCTTCAACTGTGATCTGCGTTAAAATTTTCAAACGCTAACTAGAATTCTCTTCCTCGGTAAGGTTACGATTCAGTTTCTACAACAGCTTCGTTCTCATTAAAACAAAGCTGGGTTAAAATTTGGAAAGGCAAAGTCAACATCCCAATCCTCAGGGTTTACAGACATATTTTAAATTTTGCTCGGTCGAAACTAAGAGCACTGTAAGCAGGGGCACCCAACGACAATTTTCGGAAGAATATCTGTTCGGAAGACGATTAGAGATCTAGAATTTTCGAAACATTTGTTGTAAAATTTCTTGCTTGCCTGCCTCTCCTAGGATTTTCGAACATCTAAAAAATGGTATAATTGCCCATTTCTAACGGATTTTTACCCTCAAAAGGTCACCTAGAATTTTCGGGAGCCTTTTTTCTGGCTGAAATTTTCGAAAAGGTAAGTTTTGATCCCCATAGTTTTTTGGATCACTAGATTTTCAGCTAGGAAATCCAAACAGATGAAAAATTTTTAGGGGATGAAAATATGCCTATATATACTGTTTAAATACTAAAATACACTTAACAATGCTATGTTTAAGTGGTTTTGAACTATATTCTCGTTGGGTGCCCCTGTGTAAGTATTCACTCGTTAATGTGACGCTGGAGTCTTTTGAAAACTGGACTTTATTGTGTCTGGCTCGAACTCGCTTCTATCTTTCTTTCGTTGGTCTTTGAACAAACACTGCAAATGGCAAAGAAGCTTGTCAAGATGATCGGGTGCAGGTATGTTTGTTATTTTGGTGAAGGAATTACTCATTTTCTCCTACGCAAAACATCTCGAATCTCAGCCAGTCGATTTTCGTCTTTTTAACTGTGTACTACGATAAAATTTTCAAACACTGACTAGAATCCTCTTCGATAAGATTACGAGTTAGTTTCTTCATCGCCTTCGTTCACAAATAAACACAGTTTAAAATGTTGAAGACCCAAGTCAACATTTAAGTCCTCAAGGTTTACAGGCGTCTTAAAACTTTATTTAAACCTTTTTTCCGAGGTAAAAAGAATTAGAGCTCCGAAATGAGCATTTTCTTTAAAAATTTTGGTCCGTATACCAAGTTAAGGACCGCAAATTGACCAATCGCATTGCAAAAACAGACTCAGTCATATAATAAATAACAGTTATATAACACCTATATAACCGTTATATAACTGTTATATAGCACCTATATAACCGTTATAGAAAAGCTATAAAACTGTTATATTACACCTATATAACTGTTGTATAACACCTATATAACCCTCATAGAACACCTATATAACCGTTATATAACTGTAATATAACACCTATATAACCGTTATAGAACACTTATATAATCGTTATATAACTGTTATTTAACACCTATATAACCGTTATAGAACACCTATATAACTGTAATAGAACACCTATATAACTGTTATATAACACCTATATAACCGTTATATAACTGTTATATAAACACTTTTATAATCGTTATATAACTGTTACTTAACACCTATATAACCGTTATAGAACACCTATATAACTGTTATAGAACACCTATATAACTGTTATATAACACCTATATAACGGTTATATAACACCTATATAACCCTCATACAACACTTATATAACCGTTATATAACTGTTATATAACAACTATATAACCGTTATAGAACACTTTTATAATCGTTATATAACTGTTACTTAACACCTATATAACCGTTATAGAACACCTATATAACTGTTATAGAACACCTATATAACTGTTATATAACACCTATATAACCGTTATAGAACACCTATATAACCGTTACATAACTGTTATATAACATTTCTATATCCGTTATATAACACCTTTATAACTTTTATATTACACCTATATAACTGTTGTATAACACCTATATAACCCTCATAGAACACCTATATAACCGTTATATAACTGTTATATAACAACTGTATAACGGTTATAGAACACCTATATAACCGTTATATAACTGTTATATAACACCTATATAACCGTTATCGAACACCTATATAACTGTTATAGAACACCTATATAACTGTTATAGAACACCTATATAACTGTTATATAACACCTATATAACTGTTATATTACACCTATATAACTGTTATATAACACCTATATAACCCTCATAGAACACCTATTTAACCGTTATATAACTGTTATATAACACCTATATAACCGTTATAGAACACTTATATAATCGTTATATAACTGTTTTTTAACACCTATATAACCGTTCTAGAACACCTATATAACTTTTCTAGAACACCTGTATAACTGTTATAGAACACCTATATAACCGTTATAGAACACTTATATAACTGTTATAGAACACCTATATAACTGTTATAGAACACCTATATAACTGTTATATAACACCTATATTATCGTTACATAACTGTTATATAACACCTATATAACTGTTTTATAACACCTATATAACCCTTATAGACCACCTATATAACCGTTATATAACTCTTATATAACACCTACATAACTGTTATATTACACCTATATAACTGTTGTATAACACCTATATAACCCTCATAGAACACCTATATAACCGTTATATAACTGTTATATAACAACTATATAACCGTTATAGAACACTTATATAATCGTTATATAACTGTTATTTAACACCTATATAACTGTTATAGAACGCCTATATAACTGTTATAGAACACCTATATAACTGTTATAGAACACCTATATAACCGTTATATAACTGTTATATAACACCTCTATAACCGTTATATAACACCTTTATAACTGTTATATAACACCTATATAACTGTTATATATCACCTCTATAACCGTTATATAACACCTCTATAACCGTTATATAACACCTTTATAACTGTTTTTTAACACCTATATAACCGTTATAGAACACCTATATAACCGTTATATAACTGTTATATAACATTTCTATAACCGTTATATAACACCTATATAACTCTCATAGAACACTTATATAACCGTTATAGAACACTTATATAATCGTTATATAACTGTTTTTTAACACCTATATAACCGTTATAGAACACCTATATAACTGTAATAGAACACCTATATAACTGTTATATAACACCTATATAACCGTTATAGAACACCTATATAACTGTTATATAACACCTATATAACCGTTATATAACTGTTACTGTTACATAGGAATAACTTTTATATAACACCTATATAACAGCTATATAACAGTTATATAACATGTGTCATGTTGTGTTATATAACGTAATATGTTAGGTTATATAACATAATATGTTATGTTATATAACATACGTTTACCCAGCCCTCTTGCAAAGTTTTACAGTGTTAACATTGAATTGACAAAGAAAGTTTGCTAAAAACGCACAGTTTATAAGAGCTAGGACATCAGTGGAGTAGGGGAACAGCGGCACGAGGGAAAGAGGGCGTTCCCCATCACATACTTAAGCTTGTTTAGGCACCCCCGTTAACTTCGTGCGCCTGAATTACTCTCAACAGCAATTTGTTCTAAGTTCAAGAAAGTCATTCTCAGGCTATTCAAAGACATTCACAAGTCGATTTCTTGGAGTGCAAAGAAGAGACAACTTACAGGTAATATTATTATTAGGCCAAGATGGTTCGTTTCTCACTGTGCCCGAAAATCACACTTAGAAAGGAAAAGACGAGGAAAAATGGCGAGAGCAAGGGAAATAATATAAGCTTAAAATGACGTATTGACACTTCACATTTGCACCGTTCAGCTGTTCTTGAATCATAGTTTATCAATGAATTTCAGATATTTCCTCTTAAGAAGTAAAATATTTAAACTGAGACATTTTCAACAGCAGCGACAGTTTGGATAGGAAATCCCCCTAGTGCCTAGAGCAGGCTAAGAAGACCTCTGAGACTTCCTGCTTAATATTCTATAATTTTAAAAAAAGAGAAACAAAAAAATATTGTAAATGCGAAATGATTTTCCACAAATAACAAAAGAAAAGGGTTGCGAATAAGTGTGTTTCCTCAGATTTTCTAAACGAAAAGGTGTTGATGATTCTGACCTGTATTATCTTAAAGATAAAGGCTCAATTAAATCAACTAGTAAATTGGAAACTTTGGGTCGCACTCTTTTATCCGGAGCAATCGGTTGAATTTTGACAAAATTTGCATATTTCACAAGCATCTCAGGTCCTCGTGTGGCGCCGAAAGAAAATTCGTTAAAAAAAATTTACAGAAGCGAATTTCTCCAATCTAGTTTCATATTTGTTATAAACTTATTAAAAGAAGTCTACAGAAAAATTATGAGCGAAATCCATTTTGTGGACAGAACTCGATATGAGGATCTTACAGAGACTGGCTCTTAACATGGCTAAACGCTGCCAAAATTGCACTGTTTAAGTGTCCTTTCTCATACAATGAAGATTTGCAGAAAAATTTGGGTAAAACCACTGCCCAAGGATACAAAAAACTCACTTCCGGTGACGTTTGGGTAGAGGTTTACCGCCGAAGCCTTCAAAACCTGATCCTGTTTAGGACAAAAATTGCTCATTTCGCTACCCTTTTGAAGACATGAGATCAACCTTGTTTTATAACCCTCATTAGTTTCGTTTTTCTTATAGAATTGGGTATTTTTTCAAATTAATATCGTGGAACTAAAGCCTTAAGGAAAAAATGTTAGCACCACATATGCAGACTCACACTCTTAAAAGTTGCCCGGTCCAAAAACATACTCTGTTACTAGTCACCAAATAGTGAAATTTTATACTCTGTTCTCTTCTCATGACCCTAAAAACCATATCCTGTTCAGCGGCACACATCCGTCTACGCCAAATATGGGAGTGCCCCCGATCCCAGTCCACCCCATTGTTGATCTTACTTACCTCCCCGTGTATTTTCCTGATCGCAGTAGACGTTGAACGTCTCACGTTCGTTGTTGTTCATCGCGACAGGATGAACACCATTCTCATCAAATCCATTCTCTAAGAGGTGGGCGCAGTTCTTATAGCCTGATGTGAAAAATCGATAACAAGCTTGGTTAATTCTCTGCCGATCTCGCCATCTGGGCGTGTTCCTGGGAAGGTCTTACTAAAATGAGACAGGTTCGGGTGCTGGTCACTGTCTTGGGTAGGCTGTGACCGGTTTCCAGCTCACTAAAAAAAGGGACTAATTTCATCCCATTGTACTGCTATCAAGGAACAACAAAACTCTAAAACTAGCAGTAATCGAGGATAAGTAAGCGCGTTTAAATGTTTACCATTGGATTTGAGGTTGCAGACTATGTCAGGGCCAAGAAAAATTATTTTGGAGGCCAATGTCCTTCTTTTATCTCAGGATATGGAATAACCTGAGATCAGCCCCAATTTTAGCGGTTCTCATACATTCTTTCTAACGGCTACCGTTACCTTTCCCGCTGGAATGTTATTTGCAAAGGTAAACGAACATAGAGCCTGATCTCAGGCAAGAGTTCTCTCTTGTCTCCGGTTAGATCTGGGAGAACGGGCTACGCCTATCCCGCTCCCACTTACTTGAACAACTGAATCTGCCACTACTTACCTGAATCACATATTTTCCCCTGATAATACGCTGGACATGCGCACAGGAAGTCGTGCCTTCCTTCGACAGGGAAACAAGTGCCGTTGTTCTTGCACGGGTTACGGGCACAAGGAGCCTGGGTAGAGCAAAAATCGCAACAATGATATTTCTGTTTAAAACTGACTCCAAATGGGCTAAATTTTAAAATTTTTCAATTCTTGATTATTCTTATCTCGTGGAATTATACGAGACTAAAATTTGATTCGAGCTTTTTGATAGCTGGTTTGTATCTTTAAGAATATCGTCTGCTAAGTAACCTCTTTGTAAAAAATGGATTTAGCTAAGACGTATCTCTTAGGTATTTGTTAGGAACATGAAATAAAAATCCAGTCACGGCTTTCTGATAAATTGACAAAACCATTTGTTTGTTGACACTTCAATTAGAGTGGGAATTGATCATGAAGTGTTTTTTTTAATTATATGGGAAAAGGACAGATGACTGATTAGTTGTTTACCTACGCTGATTAAATCAGCTTATTGTTGCTGTTGCACCCCCTTGATACCGCCTGGAACGACAAGAAGAGATTGTATTCGCAGGCAACTTGCTTTAACTATAAAGTACCGAAACTAAATTTAATTAGAGCATTGTCAAAAGCGGTGGAAATGTTATTTTATTTTTTTGAATTAAAACCTATTTATAAATAAATGTTAAAAGCATATAACAAAATTGTTTGTTTTGTACGGTGATGTATACTATAATTTGGTACGCAAAGACGTTTCAGTTCAGTTCAATTCATTTAAACGTTCCCGAACAATGTTGATGCACATGAAAAAGTATACTAAATATTTGTCAAACATATGGTACCTTTATAGAGAAATACTTGATTTCACATGAAAAAAGTCAATTGTTTTAATTCATAAAGATGTCTCTAGAGTAAGTTAACCCTTTCACTGCCAAATGTGGCCAAAGGCAAATTTCGACCAAATTTCCAAATTTCATTTTCTAAAGTTTTGACAAACAAATAGCACCATATGAAAGTACAGACAGAGAGCTTTCATTTGAATGGTAACATCAAAGGATTTCCTCAGCAGACTCAAAAGTTAGACTCGCCTTAAAAACTCCATCAAAAACTGGCAGTGAAGGGGTTAAACCGGTTCTGATTAAGAACCTACGATGAACAAATATATTTTGCACTTTATCAGACTGTGCAACAAAAACTACAGGTTGTTTTAGGGTGCATTGTTTTAGCTGTTGTTTCATGAAAACAGTGACAGTCATTGTTGTGTGCAGGTTCGCCAAAAAATAATAGCTTTAACTCGTAAATAATAAATGAAATCGGAAAACAAAGCAAGTGTGATAGCATTGTTAAGATTCCTCTATACTTCAAAGATTCTGTCCTCATCAAGAACTATTGCGACTAACTTGTTCCGCATTTACTTCAAGATGTTCGGGATACCAAAGAAATTCGCGAAATTTAAGAGCCACACAAACAGTTGCGGTCTGGAAATTAACGACGCAAAAGTTACTAACCTACCGCTTCCCCGCCCAAGAATTAATTAAGAAATATTAATGAAATTCAAATATAAAATACTATAAAACTAAAACTTCCATATTTCGTAGATAAATGCAAAAAGGCTGTGCTAAGTCTCAAACACATAAGTTTTTGTAAAGGTTTCGTTTTGTAACAGTATTTCAGTACGGCTTTACAATTATATACTGAATCAAAATGGCTGTAGCCCCCATTCGGAGAAACCTACTTTTTTTCATTCAGATGATTTTTTAAAAATTGCAAAAAGTTTCTTTACATTCAAGTTAATGTTTTTTTTCTCCAAATACGCGTAAAGTTTTAGCCTCGTGAAATTTGTCTCTACAGAATTACACACCAAGGAAAATTAACAGCTACAACGTACTGTAAAGGAGTGAAAACCTCGATAGATCGATGTTACAGCTTGACTTACCGTGAAACTATAGTGATGAAATTCTGTACTTTCAATGAACAAATCCAGTGAAGTAAATTTATCTGCGTCCAAGAGATGACAAATTGATTTATTATCCACCTTCAGAATTGGACCGAAATTCAGTGATCTGCATTGCACAAGTTCAGTGCACGCTTCCACACAGTCATCAGCACCGTCCACGATAATAGATTCGATCGGTGTGGAATTAAGTTTATGATTCGGAAAACGAAAAAAGTTGGAGTAAAGAAAAACTCCATTTTCTACATCAATAGAATCTTTTAAAGCTGTGGATGTAGCATTCTCTATCAGGAAAAACAAAAAAAATTGATACAAAAGGCACTGAAAACCTGACTGAAGTAAGAGGTAGTCCATTTGTTAGGAAACTTTCCACTCTGTTAAAAGGATTCTGAACATCAAAGTTTTCAGGGGTTTCATCTTCGGAACTTTTGTGATTGGATAAAAACTTGTAAAGTGCTTAGTAACATCTCGATACCGCCTTAACAACAACGTTGCCTAGCAACATTTTCCTGAGCCCACAATCGTTAGCGTTGCTAAGAACCGCTGGCTCAATGGAGTGTACTTTAACTGGCAGGTGACTTTTATTGTGTTTCACGCCCCCCCTCCCGCAAAAAATTTTGCATAACAATTGTCTTTGATTTCTCTTGGAACGATTGTGATACCTAGGAGAAACTGGAAACAATGGTTATACAAACTTTGGGGGATTTGGGGTCTACGTGAAAATGGTGAATGCAAAGACGTCCTTTAGCCAATCAGAAATAATACTTGTCAGAATTGTAGTACGTGATGTTTTAACGATAAGGTTATGACACGCTATTCGTACTAAGTGACAATACCTGCGTGGGTTAGTAGTACCTATTAAAGATAGCTTCGGCGAGGAAAATGCGGCTTGAAGGAGTTTCCCACTTTTAATAACATATTTAAAATAACCAAGCAGTAGAAATTTGTGTTAGTTCATACGGATAAACTTAATTTGTTTTAACGAATCTTTTATGCGGCGGTTTATATAATGTGGTAACTAACCTCGCTTCCAGGTTCGACCTCGTTACCAGGGAAGAAAGAAAACCCTTGGGGAGAAGGTTGATCCAGGTTTTTGTCATCGGTCCCCAAAGGGAGGCAAACCTGGGCTCGGTTACATAAAACCTGCACTTAAGTGCTCACTTACGTTGGTAAATAACGAATCCGTTATGGGTACACTTACGGGTGTTGCATGGAACGCACTTAGCACTCTCTTAAGTTTCTGTTTTACGTGGTAACTTACGTACGAACTCAATTAAAGGAACACGTAACTTTGTGATAGTACGTTAATGATTAATTTGACCCACTCTATTTTTTTAGGTAAACCATCGGAGAGTGTAAAGGAAGTGTCAAGTCGTTTAGAATAGGTCACGTATCCGTACTGTTTTTATCAAAGTTAACGAGATCTTTTACTGAGAAGTGAAAAAAAAGTTTTTTCTTTACGTAATTCCGTTCTAATGCGCTTTGTTAACCTCTGATGTATACTTTAAAGCCGTCGTTAAGAAAAAAAAAAATTCCAGTTAACGTTGATATTGAAGTAAAATAATGATTGCATGCAAACTTAATTTAAATGAGAGTCTTAAAAGTAACTTAGCTCCCGTATATTTACGTGCTATTTTTCCCGTAAAAAAGTTTTATGCAACGCCCTCAATTTCTGTGGCATTAATAGCACTTAAGTGAATTAACACTAGAGAAAATCGTAAGTGCAGCCACCTGAGTGAATTCGCCAAGTGGACCACTTAAGTAATTTAATGCAACTGACTTAAGTTACGAGTACACGTATATATACCTGTAATTGTCACTGCCGTTTTATGCAACCGGGCCCAGTCGTTTCGAATACTTTTAAGCCTCTGCTGAATGAATAGGGAAAGGCAGTTTTTACCAAAAGAAAGTTTTATATCAGCAGAAGAAAGTGTTTTATCACTTTTTCAAACAAAAAGTTCAACCAAGAAACTTCGACATAAAAATATAAATTTTGGAGGTTAACAAATCGCATAAGAACTGAATTACGTAAAGAAAAGACTTGTTTCACTTCTCAGTAAAAGATCTCGTTAACTTTAGTAAAAACAGTAAAGATACGAGACCTTCATAGGTCCCTTAAATTTATGTTCTATTTTTCCCGTAAAAAACGTTTTTATGTAACACCCGCCCGCAATTTCCGGGTTTTTATGCGGCAACTGGGCTCTTGGAACGAAGTTATACTTTGGAAGTACTGTAACGTTCGTAACTATACTATGGTTACAGTAAGGTCTTAAGTATTTTAAGAACTAATCCTACGTCTTTTAATTTTCATATCTCATAAACTGAAACAACATCACTCATTATCTATCTTGTATTTTTTGACAAAGGTCATTAAAATTCGATGTAGTTGACAAATCGTTTTATTTCAAAAGTCCGCTCTCAGAAATATTGTCGCTAGCCGTGATCGCGTAATCCATAGTGTCGAAAATTTTAATTATAAGAGACTGCAGACTGTGAAGGCGGCTTGCGGATGGACACTTAATTTTGGCTGGTAATACAAAAGAGGTCCTACGGGGAAGATCTGTTATTGAAGCTTGTTCCAAAACTAACGCAGTTAATGAGATAACTGCATTGTTGTAATCCGTTTATTGCGTTAGCGGGTTTCATAGCAACCCAAAAGAACGAATTGTCCTGTTTGCTGCGATTTCCAAATTCATTAAATAAATACAGTAGGATTTGAAAGGAAGCACCAGCTTTGAGGAATTGTCAATTAAGCGAAAACGCGATTGGTTTGAAAATTGTTTATTCAACAGCAACGTAACCTGGGGGCAATATCTTTTATTTATTGGGAAAAAAGGTTTCTTACGGCTATGTTCGAAGACTTTTAGACTCCTATTAGACAAGATTTTTAGCCGTTCATGCAGCTTGATATGGTTGCAACCTCACATTGCCTTGCCCTGTTTTTCCTGTTGTTCCGAGGAAATGTGCTTGCGTCCACGAACTACAAAGGTTATTTCGATTTTGATGGTGGGACGTTTGCATATGGTAATGCAGTGGCTTTTTATTGCCAAATGCTCAACTCTACGCCAATCGATTCCAAGGAAGTCGTAGACGATACAGAATGCTTTCGAGCCTGTGTTAAAGACTCTCGCTGTCGGTCGACGAACTTGAAAGTAGTTGAAGAACAAAGCGGTAAATTTCTCTGCCAAGTTTTAGATACTGATAAATTTACTTCTCCAGAAGTTTTCAACGGGAGCTCGGACTTTCATCACTACAGCTTCACGGTAAGCTTGACTAGAAGTATAGATGCAGAATTTTTTTGAATAATTGATTACTTCACAAGCTGTACTGTCAACGTTTCAAAGGGTGTCTTCACTAATTTAATAGAGCAGACATTTTGAAACTAACTTGACTGTGCTTTATTTTGCTCAACAAACGAAAAAAAAAATTGTCCAACTCGTGTTTGATGAAATAAATTTCCTGAAAATGAGTTTTAGGGATATTTTTTGTGATTTGAAGCTGCTAAACATTGTTGAGGGCCAAGATAATAACAAACGAGCAACAAAGAGTCGCAGTGGTATTCCCACCCTTCCTGCGAGCAGTTATCAATCATTTAGTTCTAACAGACTGAAGATAACGTGGTTCATGAGGAGAGGGAAAACCGGAGTTTTCCCGGAGAAAAACTTCTCGAGGCAAGACAGGCAACCAACATAAAACTTAAATATTTATAAAGCTAACATTTTGCATCGCCATGGGATTGGGCAATAATCCGGAAGGAGATTTTTCTCAATTCTCCCCCTATTAATTGCTGAAGACAGAGAACAAGCTTAACGTTTCTGTAGAGTAATGAAACAAGACTACCTGGAAAGAAATGTCAATTTTATCCCAAAAAAGTGAGCGTATTACTGTTATTACCATCTAGCGTCGTAGTGTAAAAGAAATATTTCGTGGGTAAAGAGGCTTTTGTTGGAGCCCTAATTGGAAGAGCTGTGGGCATGCAATAGCAATTTACAAAAGCATCGATAAAAAACTCTCGTTTTTTGAAAGTACGAGATTTTATTAGAACTTTTGGAGGGACTTAGAAACTATTATCGTTTATTTTAATTCTCTTGTTAGTTCAGTTTGAGCTGGTTAAATCCTCTAAAAATCGTTGCTTTATAGTTTTGCAAATGCAGTATATTATCGTCAACATGACAGAAATTAAACGTCTTCTCTCTCTCCTCAGGCCCCTTGCGAGCTTAACCCTTGTATGAACGGAGCTACCTGCCAGCCAGTCAAAAACAAGTACGACTTTAAATGCATATGTGCACCTGGCTATCACGGAGAGCTCTGTAATGCAAGTAAGTACAGTATTTATAGCACTTACGCTAGTGGGGCCGAGCAAATAACTGAAACAAACAATTCAAATTGAACTTAACAGGGTTAAGAATCCCAACTGGCCGGAGGCAAACCAGCTGGCTATTTACAAGAATGGCTGAGGATTTGAATTCAGGAGTTCCGTGAACAAATCCAGCTAGCGGTCAGGGTGGGACTTGAACTTGGAGCCTTCGAATTGCAAGTCCGCTGTACTACTCAAACTCAAATACAAAAAAGCAAACCCGCAGGATTAGAGACAAAGTAACATGTCTGAAAAGCGGTTTCAATTAACAACTGAATATTGAAAAGAAACAAGCCTAATTTATCTGGTTTAGGTTGCCAGAAAGATGGTCAAATTTAATCCATGGTTTAAGCTTAATGTAATTTAAAAATCATCCCCTTGTAAGGATGTGCTCCTTGAAGTTAGAATCGTTTGCTAAACATTTAGTCAGAGACCCACTCACTGTCAACAAAAAATGACAGTCCAAAAACGGCTATAGGAAAGAAAACCTTTGAGGAACCGAGCCTTTTCTAACATGATTGTTAAACTCCGACTTCTTTATAGTTACTGATTAGCTTTGTAGTTCTGCCAGGCGCCCCTACAGAGCGGAAAACTAACATTCCCACACCACTACGCGCACTGGGTAAGAGGAGCCCGGTGGGGTGAAAGGGGGGGGGGGGACTGGCATAATTGGGCTTTACAAGGAAGGGGATCCTTTTTTTTGAAAAAAGGTTCCCTAGGGATAGGGGGTTTGGGGGAATTTATCCAGGATAGGGGTGCAAAAATTAGGTGAACCAGCTTCTGTAATGG